GAGGGTGGGGTGGGGGTGTGGGTTGGGATGGGGGGCTGGATTTGCCCCTGTCGTTGCCTTTAGTGCAGGAACCACGCCATAAAAGCCCAGCATTGATAGCCCCGGTTTATTATCTTTGAACAGGTGGCCCCGGCTACTCGGAATGGTCGCTCTCATTTCTCAAGGCACACACTGTTGGGGCTCTACAATATGGAGACCATTTGGGAGTTTGGGAACATCCCGATCTAGCCGCGTTAAAGCCCAGGGAGTAAACTACAGTGCATAGTTTTGTGGTGACTTGTTGGCTGGTGAGCGGAGTGGGGGGGTTTAGAAGGGAGACTTACTTCCTGTGAGCATAACTCATGGAAACGTGGAGGCTCTGTTGATGCTAGCAGCTTCAGGGCTAATCGTGTCAATGACCTGTATTGTTTAGCTTTCAAGGTTACCGAGGAGAATCGAAGCAAAGAAGCCCTCCAAGAATGTAAACAGTCACATTTGGAGCTACAAGCTGTTTCTACTCACTGCTGAATTTCTTCTTTTTTTTACCAGGAATTCTGCACCCAGCGTAAACACACACACATGCATGCATACACACACAGAAAGCAGTGATCTGCTGTTCACCAGTGAACACAAACCCGTAAAAACAGACCTGTACCCCCTTAAAATCAGCCATCAGTCACATCTTTCATTCCTCAAACCGGTTACTGTTTCTCAACAGCTCAATCAAGACACCAGACAGTGCTATTTTTTCATTAATTAATATATTTTCTGCATTAAAGTTAACATAGTTTTCTTTTGTGCCACCCTTTAATTTTTCAGTAAGTATTTGATATTTTGTTATATTCAGACATGAGTAAATTTAAGACTGTCTCTTGCAATAAATATCATAAAATAATAGAGCTTCACATAATAAATATTTTTTACAACAAAAAAATGGTTTAACAGACATGTTTTCTTTTAAAAAATAGCCAGAATTCCTCTTATGGATTTTGAGCATACAATTTACACAAAATAAAGGAAAAAAAAACAAACAAAAAAAACATGGAAGAATGCCACAGAATGTGTATGAAGAGTTCAGATGGGTGGAAGGAGAGAAACATATCCAAGTGGAGAAAAAAAAAATACTATGAGATGGATGTGCTTTCGTTAATGCAACATGAGCATAGGAACCACGGTTTTAGTGTGGTAGCAACCAATAAATTCAAACATACCTGCTTGCTATGAATACCAGGTAACAGCTACATAATTGCCCTATAGTAGATCGTCCTTCACAGATTTGGTGAGAGGCAGCTCCCACCGGGCACACAGGCCCAGAGGAAACTGCCTACCTAAAACGGAAGAAAAACTTTTTCATATATATAAAAAAAATAGTGTTAATGAGGAGCTGAGGATAGACATAGAAACAGTTAAGGCAAACACTGGTCTGTAAAAACATGGTCCTGATCCAGAGAAAATAAAAAATAAAAATAATTGAGTGGTTTTCGTTACTCCTTTGCTTAGCTCCTTAGGGTTCCGCAGCGAGGAGGAGAGGCGGGTGGGAGGTGCTTAGAATGTTTGATAAACATTAATTTGTGACTATCATCATCATTATCATTGTCATCATAAGATCCACATCAAGTCTCCCGCTCACACACAATCACAAACACACAGGGGCAATCAGGAAGGTTTTTCCTGGGTCTGTGGGGCCCAGCTCTCCAGTTTGCAATAGACAGTGTTGGAGTTCTTGCAGCGACAGCCGGGCCTGTTAACCCGGTCGTAGCAGCCCTGGCACGCCTTCAGACACCCCTTGACAGGTGGGTAGCATAGCAGACAGGGGAAGAGTACCGACATTAATCCCATGCACAGGAAACGTGAGCAGCAGTGGGAACGTGACAGTGAGCAGGGGTGGTCAGCACATGAGTCCCCCTCATCGTCATTGGAGCAGTGGTAGAAGATGCCTTTAACCAGGCACATGCACGTGCCGTGCTCCAGTGCGCTCTCAGCTGAGCAGAGGCACTGGCCATTGCACGCCAGACATGAAGGCAGGCTCCTGGGAGCCGTGCAGTCACTGCACTTGCACTTCCCACAACACTCGCAGATGAACTGGTGCCCTGCAGCAGCCACCACCCCGTTACCAGAGCCAGAAAAGTCTGATTTCCCTTTGCCTTGGGGCTTGAGTGGAGCCTCTAGTGGAGGCTGATGGAAGTGAGGTCCCTGCTGGGGCTGCGAAAGGGCCTTGGGCTTGGGCTGAGTCCGAACAGGCCGCTCCGCTCTGTGGTGGTGCTGTAAGCTCATGCCAGGCCTGGTGGGGGGCGAGCGTGCCAAGAGTCCCTGCTCAGAGGAGTGCGTTGCTCCCTGAACTGGGCGGCACTTCCTGTGCTAGTGGGAGCGGCCTGAAAGCCCCGGTCCCCCAGCCACAACCACCACGCCATGGTGGTGACCTGAGGGCCGGTGCTCATAATTGTTGTTCACATTGACGAGGATGACCTCGTGAGTCCTCTCCTGCTTGTCCTGGGGTCTGGGGGGCATGCGGGGCGCAGGGGGCCTCCGTACCACCGAGGGCCCCTCGGTATACTCGTTGTTGGAGCGGATGGCCTTGATTTGGTCCAGGGAGAGAATGGCGGCATGCTGGAGCTCCCGCTCGTAATCCGACCTCTGCCGGCTCTCTAGGGAAGGCTGCTGGATCACCACTAATGAACCGCCGGGGCCATGTTGACTTTGGAGCTCCATCTGGGGGGATCACCACTTCCGACATTCACCGTGGACTTGGCATGCATCGGAAAACCTGCCAGAGGGGGGAAGAGAGGCCGGGGAGAGACAAAGGAGAAGCAGGGAGGGAGGGGACATCATCAGAGAGAGCCAAAACATGGCATAACTGGCAAACACACAGTGTCCTGATGGAAGACGGGTTAACATGATCCCCAGGTCATCTCACATCCAGACCCAAGTGAAACCCAACCAGTATCATATCACTGATCCTACACAATCACATAATACATATTCTGCAGCAGCAACTGCAGTAAGTTTAAACATGTAGTATTATTTAAGGTGAAATAAGCAACGTGTGCTGTAATAGTTGATGTATTTAGAGTGAGCCCAGACTGTTTTCATCCTGTCAACATGACAATATGTCACTTTTGATTCCGTTAAGTGAGGCAACCCGGGGAAAAAAGTTGACTATTAACAAGACTTTTTGTACCTTCCTCCTCAATACGCACACATCTAAACTTCAGTAGGCCCTACAAATACTTCCCCTCCTCATTTACATTTGTATGACTAGTTAACATTTAAATGCACCGCGGCGACGAAATGAGGACGCGATCCAAGGGAACTAAATGAGCTGCCTCACTTAGTATTCTATTACTACACCAAAAAGGATTTCAGGGAAAGGGGGACAAAAGTAGCGCAAAAAAAAAAAAAAAAAAGAAACGAAAAAAACAAAACCCCTTAAGGTCAGACTGAGATCCGACTAAATACAGACTCTGGTTGGGAGAAACGCACCGAGCGATTGTCGGATTAAAATCTCCCCTCCCGCTACAGAGAGACACGATTTTTTGGGGGAAAAGTTTATTTGATCATGTGTCTCAGTATACGTGCACATGCCTTAAACACCATCAGGAGTTTGGGTCGGAGCCTTCGTGGATGTTATGAAGCGACGCCGACCTGCACGAGGCCAAAACCGACTCATAACGCATAAAAACAGAAAAACCTGGCTGCCCCGTGGAGCATATCAACCTCACACTGCAGCCTCTCCTGCGCTCCGCAAACAAACAAACTCTTATTATTATTATTATTATTAATATTCCATAAACTAGGCGTCAGGAGGGCGCACTATAAATAGGATGAGCCGCTCAGAGGAGAAGACTCCGTGCGCGCTGATAAAAGCAGGATCCTTTAAAACACACAGAGCCGCAGTTCAGGGGACATTAAAGGACGCATCCTAACAGACAGGGAAAAACTTATGAATGAAAACAACCGCCGTGGGGGGAAGGGTGTTTGTCACAGCAGCGCCACGGAAGGACGCAGGCATGGAAATCCATCAACTTCATCAGCGGATCGCGATGAATTTAACCCGCTGCGGGTGGCTTTTGTTTTGTTTTCCGCGACAAACACACAGCCCTAGAAAGTGACACGGAAAGTCTTAGGCTTTGTGCACCAGCGTAACGAAGACGTTTCTATCGCCACAGCGGCGCGCACCGGCTCATACGCTGCGCTACTATCGCAGAATAAACAGCGTGGAAGTGGAATAAAAGCCGCGGGACAAGTGTGGAACAGTGCGTGAGATACGTACCTATATGCAACCATCCATAACGTCGAATCCATCAACCAAGCAGCCTACCAAAACTCCATCCGAAAGGAAGGGGCAATGTCCAAAGCGTAGACTATGAGGTCTGATGCATAACGTTCACAGCCTGTTAAATCCAAGTGCGAGTATCCCTTTGCGTTATTCCCTTTTTCTCGGTTACTGGAGTTCAGCGCGGGTTACGCATGCATTCGTCCCAGGGTGAAACAAAGTAAATCCACGGAGGAGCTCTTGATGGAGGAGGAGAGAGGGAAGGGAAGGCAGCCGGAGAACTGCTGCGCACTTGGGAGGCCGATCTTTTTTTTTGGGGGGGGGGG